CCCCTGACAATCTCAGAGTTCTTCACGTAAACACGGGTATCCAATTACTGGCAACTCATTCATTAAGAACAGCTATTTGAATTTGGAACGGTCCAGCCGTTCTTCCCACCTTGCTCAGCCGGGAATTTTGGCTTTGTAACGGCTTTGATTCAGACGTCGAACCTTTTGTGAGCCAAACCTAATGCATAAATTATTGTAACGTATTTTACAAGCAGTTTTCGCTTTGTCTGAAAATCACTGACATTTCAGTGTGATTTGGTTTAAACTAAATAAAGTTCACCGAATTAAGTTCGACGTCTAAATTAACGGGTGTACTTCTGATAATTTGGGTCGGTCCAAATTAGAATTAAGTTTGGCTCATGAAAAGTTCGGCATCTGAACTGGACCTTAGTCAAGTCAAATTACAACTAAAAACCACAACGCTTGCAGATAACAAACAACTAGTAACAACATATAAGACCTCAGATTCAAGTAGTTTTTCAGACGAACGTAATTCAGACTAAATGGGGCTTCACAATCTTTCAAGACGCCACCGCAAAATGCGTAAATTAACACATAGCCTGAATAGTGGCGCTGATGTGGCGTGTTTACAATTTGATGTGACATTTGAGACAACGCATTGGACATGATAAAATTATTTCCAAGAAATGGAATAAAAACGAAACTGATAACAAAGCCTTTTTGCGTAGTATTGCGTGGCAGTATAATAAAATAACTTGTTCCATATTNATAACAAACAACGAGTAACAACATATAAGACCTCAGATTCAAGTAGTTTTTCAGACGAACGTAATTCAGACTAAATGGGGCTTCACAATCTTTCAAGACGCCACTGCAAAATGCGTAAATTAACACAAGCCTGAATAGTGGCGCTGATGTGGCGTGTTTAAAATTCGACGTGACATTTGAGACAACGCATTGGACATGATAAAATTATTTCTAAGAAATGGAATAAAAACGAAACTGATAACAAAGCCTTTTTGCGTAGTATTGCGTGGCAGTATAATAAAATAACTTGTTCCATATTCGGCCACAAATTTCTAAATTATTTTTCATTTAGCAGAAATGCCTGGTCAGAGTGACCGACCAGACTAAGCTTTTACCTGTCAAAACCTCAAATTTACCGAACAATAATACAATTATTGTCCGATGACCGACTGTTATTTGCAGGCTTGCTTTACAGTTCTGCAGTATTTTGCGCATGAAAACAATTTCGTAACAAAAAAGAGCATTGATGTGTGTTTTCAGAAAATGCTATCTTGTTTGTCAAATATTTCTTTCAACAAAAGTAACATGTTCAGTTCCCCATTTACGTACCAACCAGCGAAAAGTGGACAAACAGAAATTTGCATAGTTTACGTGCTGAACAACACATGCCCGGTACCATGATATGTCCACAATGAAATTCTGACCTTGTTTCTGAGAAAAGTGTAAATTTTGTGTTTGTCTTCCTTGAAGGAGACAGAAACTAGTTCAGCCAATTTCTCTTTGTTGACTAGCCAGAGTGGCTAGTGGAAATCAAAAACCTACTAGCCAAAACTAAATTTTTGCCAGTCTGTGGCTAGTTGGCTACTGTTAGTGTCGAGCCCTGTAATTGCAGTGTATTTTTGACCTTGAAATGCTGCTCGAAGATGGCAAAACACAAGCTCATGGTTGGAAAACCTTGAAATGCTGCTTGAAGATGGCAAAACACAAACTTGTGGTTGTAAGAACCTTGAAATGCTGCTAGAATCAATGGTAGGACATGGCAAAACACAACCTCGTGGTTGCAAGAATTACATGTACTGGACACCACCTTGCACGCTTGTTAAAACATTACCCGAGACCATTGTGCACACCTAGTTTCATCAAATCAGGAACGCAAACTACAAACATATTTCTTTCTTTTTTGAAATTCCTGGTATGTATACACCCAGGGAATCCTAGGATGCCTCTTCAGGTTTTGGCCAAAATACTGCTGGGGCAATTATCCTTANACTACAAACATATTTCTTTCTTTTTTGAAATTCCTGGTATATATACACCCAGGGAATCCTAGGATGCCTCTTCAGGTTTTGGCCAAAATACTGCTGGGGCAATTATCCTTATGATACACACTTTTTATTGTTTAGTTGTTCAGCAGTACACTTACTGACAGTGACATTCAGTCATGAGGAACTTGGAAGTCAATTATGGCTTAGACCCAGGGAGGGGGGGGGTGGTACTCCCAGAAAAGTTGGGTGGGGGTGTGCGACCCACTTCCCTAAACCCTTACCCTATTTATGACCAAACTCTGCTATTTTTGTTACCCTATTTATGGCCTGGCCAAAAATTTGATACCCTATTTATGACCATTGCGGCTGGCACAGTTACCCTAAACGTAAGCTATGAAGGGCTTTTGTTGACGGTCTTATTGGTAATGATGAAAAAGTAGTTTCTTCCGAGAAACATATGTAATTCAAGACTAAAGTGCTAAAACCATACCCTAGTTAAGACCAAAATGGCCAAAATCAATACCCTATTTATGACCAAAACAGCTGGAAAACCCTACCCTCTGGGGCCACACACACCTATATAGCCCATAGAAGGGAGTACCCCCCAGGACTTAGATCACCTGATGTTGACATATTTAACATTTTGCTTGAACCAAAAAATTTTATTTCTCCATTATAAAAGTGTCAGACTGAGAGAAGGACATAGATTGGTTTGCTTGATTGTCAGAACTGGCATAAAAAAGAAATATACTGTGAGAGGAAACTTAAAAATTTTAATCTTGTCTGTGAAAAGGTTTAAGAGGGTCTAACATAGGTTTCATTAATGGCAGGGCACTGCTCAAATTGGCCAGCTGTGAAGAGAACTTTACCAGGCTGCTTCATTGATATTTTTTGTGGCACTGTTCCTGTCTTTTTTATAAGACTGTCTAGAAGTCTTCTAAAAAGTTGAGCTTATTTCAAATCAAGGAAACCACAACTTTGCTTGTTATAGTACGTGCTATTTCCCTTGAACTGGATTTTCTGCCTGGAATTCTTATCCTGATACCCTCGTGAAAAAAATCTTATGAAATCCCTTGATCCGGGATGAGAGTGAAAATGGAGGTAAAATGACAGGATGGAGCCAAAAATAGTGACAGGATACAAAATTGAGAAAGCCTTGGTTGCACCCTTGTTAAATGCCTGTTTTCTTTTCTCATCAGGTTCCTCCTCAGGAAACCTCTCCCCATGTGGAAATTGGTCTCACAGACCATGTGCAGGTAATGTATAATAAATTTCAATGCTTCCCAGGTTATAAATGGAGAAAGGGAAGGTGTATCGGAAACATCCAATTTTTGAGAGTGCTTTGGTATTGACTGTGCAGTCTGAGAAGATTCAAGGGTGGGATGAGTGGTGCTGCACTGAAATTTTATTCAGGGAATTTAGGCATAAAATGGAAGTTTCAAATGTGTTCTTAAATGGGGAAATTCTAAAGTGACTGAGTTTTTTTTGATAGAAAAGAGGGTGAATATAGCTTTTCGACAAAAACTGGGACTCTCCACTAGATCTTCCCCTGGTAATAACAGGGCTGTCATTAAGTTTTGATTAACCTGTAGCCTTGATCTTCGCACCTGTAAGAACTTGTTACTTTATGGGTGAAATGTATCAACTACAGGCAGTTTCACCCATACCATCAAGAGCCTATCAAGCATACTCAGCCATAACAGTTGTGAGAGGTTACAGTCCTTAATGATGGCCCTGAGATATGCAATAAGCTCAATGTCGACCTCACAAGTACACTGCTCAGCCACACACTTCATCTTAGACGACTGTATGTAACTGTATTAGCAATAATTATAATAATTGGAAGTGGTAGTTCATGGACACTAAAAGGTGGAAGCCTTTATTATTGATTCAAAGAAAATGGTGGAAAAAGAGAAAGAAGCTGCTGAGAAACCAACAAAACCAAAAGTAGAGTTGCAGTCACTACCAACCAGGGCATATCTGGACCAAACAGTTGTGCCTATTCTTCTACAAGGTCTCTCCACCCTGTCCAAGGAAAGGTAATTAAAAGTCAAGTTTTATTGTATTAAGTGAGAAAGAATGTAGGTATGTACTGTGATTTGGGTTAGCCTTTGGAAACTTCACTACCTTGTGTCACAGTGTAACTTTTGTTGCAGTTTTGTCATCTCATTGTATATTTAAGAAACAGGGAATGGTGTGCTTGCACTGCCCAGTGCAAACACAAGAGACAGTTTGATAGAATAGTCTTATGTGAACCCTCATCTATATAGCACAGGTTTACATAAGTTGTTTTGAATTTTCTCAAACATTAGCTAGTAATAATTATCATGCATCAGGGTATGTGAATAACAAGTACGAATTTTGTATTTCTTATATGAGATAAAGCCAATTTATTTCTAAGAAGAATTATTGGTAGCTAAATAAATGAAGATTGATTGATTGATTGATTGACCAATTGAATGTCTTTCTGCAAGAATTTGTGGGTTGCAACTTGCATAATGATCCTTCGATAAATTTGCAAAATGCAATAACACTGCTAAAATTTTTTTAAACAGAATTTTTTTTCTTGCTTACTGTTAGTCTTGAGAACATTTCTGCAAAGTAGCAACAACATCTGGACCCATCATTATTGAGTATAGGCATGTGTTCATCCGGTTATGGATCAATGTGCATGCTGTGGATTTACACACTGCACATTTCACTAGCTATGTATATGTAAGAGCAAGCTACACCTTGACTACTTAACACAACATTGTGCATTGAATTTAAGACTACAAGTCATATGTCTCAATGTGCTGTACAATATTGCTTTGTCTCTTTCAGACCACCCAACCCAATCGAATATCTGGCGACGTACTTACTGAAAAACAAAGAACAGTATGAAGAGAGCTAGTGATGTTGAGCTATGCTGGCTTCGTGATTGTAAATTTAGAAACGCAGATGACGCAGGACACTTCTATATCCCCGTACTGATCCCAGCAATTTTGCAGATCCATTCACAGAACAAATAAAGTAAACAAGATAGTTATAAGACGAGAAGTAATTTTACTTTCACCTATGTATATGAATCACAAGATACTCTCACAACATGATGTTCACTTGTTTCAGCTGAAGGGCCTCTTTTAATTATGAGATATAAAAATTCCAGGGTAATTACCACAAAAATTACTGGTGTCAAATTTTTACAGACAAGACCTTCATCACATGTAAACTTGCAATGTTCTACTCTCTCAACTTTCCTCGAGTGGTTATTTTGGGTGTTGTGATCTCTGTGACTTTGTACTACTCTGTGTTTGTAATATACCTTTGACAATGAAGTATTAAATAGTTGTCTTGAAAAATGTTTATTTTGCTTGTAATTAATATGGTGGGGAGAGAAGTTTTGTAAATGGAATCAACACTAAGTTTCAAACAAGGCCTGAGGAAGATAGGCACTGGCTTGGTGCATATGTTTGTTTTTCACGTTCTTTCCTGCTTTGTTCACTGCTTGGTACAAAGGTCTCCTGAATACCCTCAGAAATGCTGTTTGAAAACTAAAATAACCAATGATAAAATTTTATTGTCAGTAGCCTTCAAAGAGTTTCTTTGCGGTACTGGTTTTGAATGTTCTGGCCCTGACTGGTATTGTTTGTGGTAAGTTATGGTCCTCAACCCTCCTTGGTCTTACGCGCCTACTAGTGTGCTCCTCAACCCTCCTTCCCTTCTCACTGATTTTTTCTTTCAGGGAGGGCAGCTGTAACACAGGCCACATGGAACGTTCCTTTTATTTTCCACCGGAGCCACTGGCTTTCTATACAAATGATGAGCAATTTTTGGCCGAACGGAAAGCGAGATTGCATTCCTTTTTTCCTCTTCCCCCGAGTCCGGACCTTTATATTTCTTTCCAGTTCTCCCCAGTCTCTTCCGAGTAGTGAAAAAGAAAAATGGCGACGGTTTTTGACTAAAGTAAGTGAAGTGATAGGGAGAGGCATATTTTGAGGCTTTCTTATGGCCGGCAGGTTACGATTAATAACATTTGATGCTTGTAATACGCTATTTCATGTTCGAGGCTCACCCGGAGAACTGTACAGTAATGTGGCGGCTCGTTTTGGCGTCGACATTGAGCCTAAAGCGTTGAACGATTCGTTCAAGGACTCATTTCGAGACTTCTACAAAACATTGCCAAACTTTGGCGCTAAAAGCGCAAAGACGGGTGAAAAATGGTGGTATGGAGTGGTGAGACAAACGTTCCGTTCCGCTGGTTATCACGATGAAGCAAACTTAGCTAGAATTTCTTCTGTATTGTACAAAGAATTCTCCACTGCATCTTATTGGCAGGTTTATCCTGAAACATTTGTTGTGTTAGAGCATTTAAAGAATAGAAACTATCATCTTGCCGTAATATCCAACTTTGATGAACGGCTGGATGTCATTCTTGAAAGTCTCCGCTTGAAGGAATACTTCACATTTATTGCATGTTCTTTCGATGTTGGAATTTGCAAACCTTCTCCAGAAATTTTTCAACTTGTTTTGTCTCATTTTGATGTCAAAGCTGAAGAAGCTCTACATGTTGGTGACAATATCAACTTGGATTACAAGCCAGCTGTTGAACTAGGAATGAGATCATTAATTGTCAACAGGTTTTGCAAGGACTATTCCAAAGATAGTGTTGATCCTAATCACATAATACAGGATCTAAATCCTTTACAATAACTTTGAAATTCATCTACTGGTATTTTCATTGGGGTTTTTGAACCCCAATAGAAATTGCTGGTATCTAATTTTATAAATGGGCTACCTTGCCATATTATATGCCATATTATATGGCAAGGAAGCCTTGAGGTACATCTGAGCTTTCGGACTGATTTTTTCTGGGTCAGGATTTTGCCATAAGGAATGTTTTCATGGATTATTGACCAAGCATGAGGTCAAGATAGCTGGATATTGGCCAAGTTCTTTTTTTTTTTTTTGCATGTATATAGACTAAGACGGGGTCGAGGTCCATAAACTCGGAAAAAGAAGCCAATATCCAGCCATCTTGACTGAACAAGCGTGATCAATAAAAGATTTATTATATGGCTTTCAGAAAAAAGTTCTTGTGGGACACAGCAGGTAGCCTTTAGTGGGCAAGATAGGGTCATCTTGCCTGCCTGGGTAGCCAATCACAGCACAGGATTTGGCTCATTATTTGAACACTGAAAATGTTAACTATTTTTTGGATAGTATGTTTCTAACACCTTAAATTAATAAAAGTAGCATTTTGCATTTCTCTCACTCTTCCTGCCCTTCCCCCTTCCAGATTCTTTGCACCTCCTACCCGATATTCTCCTGGTCTCTCTCTCCCCTGTGCTCCCCGACTGAAGTGCACATTGTTAAAGCCTCCCTTGATGTCCGCAGCAGATCTGGAGGAACTCGAGGAGTGGAATGTGGGGGACAGTGAGGAAAAAGTGTAGTGGAGGGGAACCATTGCCCTAAATATACCACTGATTTTCCTCCCAGTACCCCAAAAAGACAAATTGCTGATGATCAGTAAGCACCTTTGCATGTTCCAATTTTCCAGGCATAAATGTCATTGCAAAGTAAAGAAAAACAATATGCTTCCTGGAAGAAAGTTACCATTATTTTTATAGGATGGCTGGGGGGAAAAGGAGTAAGAACTTTAATTACATGAGGTAAAAGAAGAGGGTTGGAAGTGGATTTCCTGCGTTCAAAGGAACAAGGAGAAATCGGAGAATTTTACAACATGGCGGGGGTTATAATTAAAAGGTCACGGGGCCGGGATGTGGGAAGTTCTGTCCCGTCCCCTGGCCCCTACAGACTAGCCTCGACTCGAGGTTAGTCGACATTATCCCAGACTCTCCCGTCATTTAACGGCGGGAACATGTTTCAGTTCAAGCAGTCACTCGAGAAGACATTAATTAGCGATTTTTAAGTTTCTATGAGTCATCGAAAATCACCAACGAACTGGCGAGAAGGATGTCTTCGGGGGTGTCTTTCCGTAGGTACTTTTCCTCTGTAGATTCTTCGTCGTATCGGGAAAGACAAGAAGAGGAGTGGAGTCCACGAAGCCAAGAAAGCGACCAGGATTCTGATGAAGAAAACCACGAGTCAAACGTGATCACCATAACTGACTCCAGCACAAGTTCATTGGAATCTCCTCTTCCTTGGACTAAAAATTCTTCGTTTTCGCATTCCTCTCTCTCTACAAGCCTTGTATTACATTCTCAAGGTGGTAAGGTATGTCAAGAAGGTGGCTTTTCGACAGATTCGTCGAAAGAGTTCATTCCTAGGTCAAGATCGCTTGTGATCGGAAAGCGTCCTAGAGCTGTTGGACTCAAGGATATTGATCTGACAAGAAATCCTGCCGCAAAGCATATTCGAGAAACAAAGGAAGCGAACAAAAGCCCCAAGAAGAGCCACTTGTTCAGCCCTTTATCAAGACACATGTCTTGTCCATCTTTCAGCAGCCCCAACGAAATCTTTCCCATAGGACCGTCTGATAGACATGGAAAGACAGGTAAAACTGGTCAAACCCGTTTGAATCGAGGGTTGAGCTTTGACTCGGACTCACAGCTCAGATCAGCGATTGTTTGCAAAAGCCCACCAGTAGAAGTGACCAGAAAATCAAGCGGAAATGCCGTAACATTATTTAGTTGCCCAAATGATCAGGTCAATTTTGACACAACTGATAACATGTTACAAGTACATTTTCCAGTGGAAGAATCAGACTGTGACTGGTGTGACACAGCAACTCCGCATGTTGTACACAACAGTAGCAAACTCTGCTTACCACCTGAAGTTATTGATCTGACGATCAGTGAAGAGCCGCCTGGTTGTAAATTAAACAATTACAATGAGCAATCAAATTGCCAGGAAAGCTCAGTCAAAAATGGAGATGTTTCTAAGCCAAGTACAGCTGTTCGAAATCGTTTACCGTTGAAGGGGAAAATGGCCAGGAAAAAATCTGAGTTTTCTTTTAGCGATGATGAGGATAGTGATTCTACTGAATGCCGTGCAAAAAGGGGCAACGAAACATCACTGCAACCAGATGACACTAATGAACAATCACAAAACAGGCGACACTCTAAGCGGTGGTTTTTACAAATGTGCCTTATTTTTGTGTTATGTGCATTATCTTTATCAGGATACTTTCATGTTAACCCTCACGGCCTTTGTCTAGATAGTGAATTCAGCAAGAATATTTCAGGCATTGGCAGTACCCTCAAGACTGAGTTATATGGTCAACACATTGCTCAGAAGCTGGTCACCTCGGCGCTGAAGAGTCACTTCAACAAGCAAGACATAAGGAAGCCACTTGTGCTGTCTTTTCATGGCTGGACTGGAATAGGCAAGAACTTTGTCAGCAATATTATAACAGAACATTTTTTCAAGCGCAAGACTCACAGCCCCTTTGTACACAAGTTTATCATTCCACTTCATTTTCCTCACGAATCCGAAGTTGAAAGCTACAATGAACAGCTACAGAGATGGATCAATGGAAATATATCACACTGTAGAAAGGGTGGCTTGTTTATATTTGATGAAATGGACAAAATTCACCTTGGCATGATGGGCACAATTAAAGATGCCATCTTGGATTACCGAGGCAAGAAAGCTGGCTATGGAAATGTGGTATTTATTTTCCTGTCAAATTCTGGTGGCGAGGCAATTAATCGACATGTACTGAATCACGCTCTTGAGGGAAAATTGAGAGAATCCCTAACATTGGGTGAGCTGGAAATTATTTTCCATGGCATTGTAAAAAAAATGCCAGATGTTTGGTTTGCAGACCTATTGAAGTCAGAAGTCATTGATCAGTTGGTTCCATTTATTCCATTGGAGAGGACACATGTGAAGCAATGTATCAGAAGGGATCTCATCAAGAAAGGTTTCCAAGTAAAAGAGGCGTTAGTCACAGAGATTGCAGATCAGATGGAGTACTTCCCTGAAAGATATGAATTCTTCTCAGTGTCAGGGTGCAAGAAGGTGTCATCCAGAGTGGATGTCGTCATGGGATGAACTGTGGAGCTGAGGTGGCAGTGATGAGGCTTTCTTACAAATGTGCAACAAGGACTGATTTTTCTCATCTCTGGACACTTTTAAAGTGTCATTAAAATGACTATACATTCAAGGATGCATCACTTAGACCAACTTTCTCCCAAGTGGAACGATACAATGTTTGTTAACCAGTGAAGAGAAATTTTGATGGCGTGATTGGGACAAAAGGGTAATATTTAAGAAATAGAATTCATTTTTAGTGCTTCTATTGAGTTATAAAAACACCACTGGAAGTTTAGGAGAATGAGAAATGCTTTGGGAACATAAGCTGATAGGTGAGTGCTTTCACAACTTTTTCAAGATCTCCGAACCTTTTGCAAGTGTTTCTATAACTTGATAGAAACATGAAGAAAATGTTTTCTATTTTTTTGGTTAGAAAACAGCCCAAAGAAAATAAGGAAGATGACTATGACAACTTTTCTGTGTTTCTATGTAGTTTTCGTATAAATCTACTGGCGTTTTATCACGGATGATGTTCTCTGATTGGCTACGCTACTCACTATCTATTCTGTGATAGATAGTGAGTAGCGTAGCAGTGTGTGGTGTTTTCGCAGTGTCTGTGAAGACAATTCAGATAAAATTTTGAACGACTGGTGGATTTATACTAAAACAATTAGATTATTCACTCTCGATTTCTATGTGTGATAGAAATCTCAAGATCATAATCTAATTGTTTAATAGAAGCCCAATTTTTAACCAATCAGTATGCATATTTTCATTGGGTTATTTTCTAGCATGTTTTATTATATCTCTCTGATCGTTCATGAACTGTGAATGGTCAGTTTTACATGCTGTATTCTACAGTACAGTATGCTAAATGAAAAACTCTGATAAACCCACTTGCTACGTGTTTGACCTGCTGTGTTTTTCTTTTTCCAGACTGAGAGATATTATAAGCATATCTTCCACCTTGCTTTTTACAGGACAGTTACATTCACTAAACTGATATGGATCCTTATTTTGTTCTGCATGTTGTTTGCACTCAGGCTGTAAATCAACAGGGAAACACTTGATCCATTCATGTACATGTATCTTACAAAACAGACCTCAACTGGGTAAATTTTATGTCATATCTTCTCAGGGGGCAGGGGACTCTCTTGTGAAAGGGTTGTAGATGCTCATTATCTTGCTAAGGATTATTGTTAATAATTATGGTGTTCAGGATTGCCAAGGGTTGCAAGCAAAGAAATATAAAGACATTGTCATACTGTGTTGGTGGCCCAGACTGTTACACACAAAATTAGTACTCTAATTCAAATTTTCCTCTGAGCATCCCCGAGCCTGTCACATGCCAGCTCCCTCTCAGTAGCCTTTGCTGCGGGGAGAGGAAATCATGACAAAATTGGTAAGATTTTTCCATTCAGGCNTACTGATCCCAGCAATTTTGCAGATCCATTCACAGAACAAATAAAGTAAACAAGATAGTTGTAAGACGAGAAGTAATTTTACTTTCCCCTATGTATATGAATCACAAGATACTCTCACAACATGATGTTCACTTGTTTCAGCTGAAGGGCCTCTTTTAATTATGAGATATAAATATTCCAGGGTAATTACCACAAAAATTACTGGTGTCAAATTTTTACAGACAAGACCTTCATCACATGTAAACTTGCAATGTTCTACTCTCTCAACTTTCCTCGAGTGGTTATTTTGGGTGTTGTGATCTCTGTGACTTTGTACTACTCTGTGTTTGTAATATACCTTTGACAATGAAGTATTAAATAGTTGTCTTGAAAAATGTTTATTTTGCTTGTAATTAATATGGTGGGGAGAGAAGTTTTGTAAATGGAATCAACACTAAGTTTCAAACAAGGCCTGAGGAAGATAGGCACTGGCTTGGTGCATATGTTTGTTTTTCACATTCTTTCCTGTTTTGTTCACTGCTTGGTACAAAGGTCTCCTGAATACCCTCAGAAATGCTGTCTGAAAACTAAAGTAATCAATGATAAAATTTTATTGTCAGTAGCCTTCAAAGAGTTTCTTTGCGGTGCTGGTTTTGAATGTTCTGGCCCTGACTGGTATTGTTTGTGGTAAGTTATGGTCCTCAACCCTCCTTGGTCTTACGCGCCTACTAGTGTGCTCCTCAACCCTCCTTCCCTCCTCACTGATTTTTTCTTTCAGGGAGGGCAGCTGTAACACAGGCCACATGGAACGTTCCTTTTATTTTCCACCGGAGCCACTGGCTTTCTATACAAATGATGAGCAATTTTTGGCCGAACGGAAAGCGAGATTGCATTCCTTTTTTCCTCTTCCCCCGAGTCCGGACCTTTATATTTCTTTCCAGTTCTCCCCAGTCTCTTCCGAGTAGTGAAAAAGAAAAATGGCGACGGTTTTTGACTAAAGTAAGTGAAGTGATAGGGAGAGGCATATTTTGAGGCTTTCTTATGGCCGGCAGGTTACGATTAATAACATTTGATGCTTGTAATACGCTATTTCATGTTCGAGGCTCACCCGGAGAACTGTACAGTAATGTGGCGGCTCGTTTTGGCGTCGACATTGAGCCTAAAGCGTTGAACGATTCGTTCAAGGACTCATTTCGAGACTTCTACAAAACATTGCCAAACTTTGGCGCTAAAAGCGCAAAGACGGGTGAAAAATGGTGGTATGGAGTGGTGAGACAAACGTTCCGTTCCGCTGGTTATCACGATGAAGCAAACTTAGCTAGAATTTCTTCTGTATTGTACAAAGAATTCTCCACTGCATCTTATTGGCAGGTTTATCCTGAAACATTTGTTGTGTTAGAGCATTTAAAGAATAGAAACTATCATCTTGCCGTAATATCCAACTTTGATGAACGGCTGGATGTCATTCTTGAAAGTCTCCGCTTGAAGGAATACTTCACATTTATTGCATGTTCTTTCGATGTTGGAATTTGCAAACCTTCTCCAGAAATTTTTCAACTTGTTTTGTCTCATTTTGATGTCAAAGCTGAAGAAGCTCTACATGTTGGTGACAATATCAACTTGGATTACAAGCCAGCTGTTGAACTAGGAATGAGATCATTAATTGTCAACAGGTTTTGCAAGGACTATTCCAAAGATAGTGTTGATCCTAATCACATAATACAGGATCTAAATCCTTTACAATAACTTTGAAATTCATCTACTGGTATTTTCATTGGGGTTTTTGAACCCCAATAGAAATTGCTGGTATCTAATTTTATAAATGGGCTACCTTGCCATATTATATGCCATATTATATGGCAAGGAAGCCTTGAGGTACATCTGAGCTTTCGGACTGATTTTTTCTGGGTCAGGATTTTGCCATAAGGAATGTTTTCATGGATTATTGACCAAGCATGAGGTCAAGATAGCTGGATATTGGCCAAGTTCTTTTTTTTTTTTTTGCATGTATATAGACTAAGACGGGGTCGAGGTCCATAAACTCGGAAAAAGAAGCCAATATCCAGCCATCTTGACTGAACAAGCGTGATCAATAAAAGATTTATTATATGGCTTTCAGAAAAAAGTTCTTGTGGGACACAGCAGGTAGCCTTTAGTGGGCAAGATAGGGTCATCTTGCCTGCCTGGGTAGCCAATCACAGCACAGGATTTGGCTCATTATTTGAACACTGAAAATGTTAACTATTTTTTGGATAGTATGTTTCTAACACCTTAAATTAATAAAAGTAGCATTTTGCATTTCTCTCACTCTTCCTGCCCTTCCCCCTTCCAGATTCTTTGCACCTCCTACCCGATATTCTCCTGGTCTCTCTCTCCCCTGTGCTCCCCGACTGAAGTGCACATTGTTAAAGCCTCCCTTGATGTCCGCAGCAGATCTGGAGGAACTCGAGGAGTGGAATGTGGGGGACAGTGAGGAAAAAGTGTAGTGGAGGGGAACCATTGCCCTAAATATACCACTGATTTTCCTCCCAGTACCCCAAAAAGACAAATTGCTGATGATCAGTAAGCACCTTTGCATGTTCCAATTTTCCAGGCATAAATGTCATTGCAAAGTAAAGAAAAACAATATGCTTCCTGGAAGAAAGTTACCATTATTTTTATAGGATGGCTGGGGGGAAAAGGAGTAAGAACTTTAATTACATGAGGTAAAAGAAGAGGGTTGGAAGTGGATTTCCTGCGTTCAAAGGAACAAGGAGAAATCGGAGAATTTTACAACATGGCGGGGGTTATAATTAAAAGGTCACGGGGCCGGGATGTGGGAAGTTCTGTCCCGTCCCCTGGCCCCTACAGACTAGCCTCGACTCGAGGTTAGTCGACATTATCCCAGACTCTCCCGTCATTTAACGGCGGGAACATGTTTCAGTTCAAGCAGTCACTCGAGAAGACATTAATTAGCGATTTTTAAGTTTCTATGAGTCATCGAAAATCACCAACGAACTGGCGAGAAGGATGTCTTCGGGGGTGTCTTTCCGTAGGTACTTTTCCTCTGTAGATTCTTCGTCGTATCGGGAAAGACAAGAAGAGGAGTGGAGTCCACGAAGCCAAGAAAGCGACCAGGATTCTGATGAAGAAAACCACGAGTCAAACGTGATCACCATAACTGACTCCAGCACAAGTTCATTGGAATCTCCTCTTCCTTGGACTAAAAATTCTTCGTTTTCGCATTCCTCTCTCTCTACAAGCCTTGTATTACATTCTCAAGGTGGTAAGGTATGTCAAGAAGGTGGCTTTTCGACAGATTCGTCGAAAGAGTTCATTCCTAGGTCAAGATCGCTTGTGATCGGAAAGCGTCCTAGAGCTGTTGGACTCAAGGATATTGATCTGACAAGAAATCCTGCCGCAAAGCATATTCGAGAAACAAAGGAAGCGAACAAAAGCCCCAAGAAGAGCCACTTGTTCAGCCCTTTATCAAGACACATGTCTTGTCCATCTTTCAGCAGCCCCAACGAAATCTTTCCCATAGGACCGTCTGATAGACATGGAAAGACAGGTAAAACTGGTCAAACCCGTTTGAATCGAGGGTTGAGCTTTGACTCGGACTCACAGCTCAGATCAGCGATTGTTTGCAAAAGCCCACCAGTAGAAGTGACCAGAAAATCAAGCGGAAATGCCGTAACATTATTTAGTTGCCCAAATGATCAGGTCAATTTTGACACAACTGATAACATGTTACAAGTACATTTTCCAGTGGAAGAATCAGACTGTGACTGGTGTGACACAGCAACTCCGCATGTTGTACACAACAGTAGCAAACTCTGCTTACCACCTGAAGTTATTGATCTGACGATCAGTGAAGAGCCGCCTGGTTGTAAATTAAACAATTACAATGAGCAATCAAATTGCCAGGCAAGCTCAGCCAAAAATGGAGATGTTTCTAAGCCAAGTACAGCTGTTCGAAATCGTTTACCGTTGAAGGGGAAAATGGCCAGGAAAAAATCTGAGTTTTCTTTTAGCGATGATGAGGATAGTGATTCTACTGAATGCCGTGCAAAAAGGGGCAACGAAACATCACTGCAACCAGATGACACTAATGAACAATCACAAAACAGGCGACACTCTAAGCGGTGGTTTTTACAAATGTGCCTTATTTTTGTGTTATGTGCATTATCTTTATCAGGATACTTTCATGTTAACCCTCACGGCCTTTGTCTAGATAGTGAATTCAGCAAGAATATTTCAGGCATTGGCAGTACCCTCAAGACTGAGTTATATGGTCAACACATTGCTCAGAAGCTGGTCACCTCGGCGCTGAAGAGTCACTTCAACAAGCAAGACATAAGGAAGCCACTTGTGCTGTCTTTTCATGGCTGGACTGGAATAGGCAAGAACTTTGTCAGCAATATTATAACAGAACATTTTTTCAAGCGCAAGACTCACAGCCCCTTTGTACACAAGTTTATCATTCCACTTCATTTTCCTCACGAATCCGAAGTTGAAAGCTACAATGAACAGCTACAGAGATGGATCAATGGAAATATATCACACTGTAGAAAGGGTGGCTTGTTTATATTTGATGAAATGGACAAAATTCACCTTGGCATGATGGGCACAATTAAAGATGCCATCTTGGATTACCGAGGCAAGAAAGCTGGCTATGGAAATGTGGTATTTATTTTCCTGTCAAATTCTGGTGGCGAGGCAATTAATCGACATGTACTGAATCACGCTCTTGAGGGAAAATTGAGAGAATCCCTAACATTGGGTGAGCTGGAAATTATTTTCCATGGCATTGTAAAAAAAATGCCAGATGTTTGGTTTGCAGACCTATTGAAGTCAGAAGTCATTGATCAGTTGGTTCCATTTATTCCATTGGAGAGGACACATGTGAAGCAATGTATCAGAAGGGATCTCATCAAGAAAGGTTTCCAAGTAAAAGAGGCGTTAGTCACAGAGATTGCAGATCAGATGGAGTACTTCCCTGAAAGATATGAATTCTTCTCAGTGTCAGGGTGCAAGAAGGTGTCATCCAGAGTGGATGTCGTCATGGGATGAACTGTGGAGCTGAGGTGGCAGTGATGAGGCTTTCTTACAAATGTGCAACAAGGACTGATTTTTCTCATCTCTGGACACTTTTAAAGTGTCATTAAAATGACTATACATTCAAGGATGCATCACTTAGACCAACTTTCTCCCAAGTGGAACGATACAATGTTTGTTAACCAGTGAAGAGAAATTTTGATGGCGTGATTGGGACAAAAGGGTAATATTTAAGAAATAGAATTCATTTTTAGTGCTTCTATTGAGTTATAAAAACACCACTGGAAGTTTAGGAGAATGAGAAATGCTTTGGGAACATAAGCTGATAGGTGAGTGCTTTCACAACTTTTTCAAGATCTCCGAACCTTTTGCAAGTGTTTCTATAACTTGATAGAAACATGAAGAAAATGTTTTCTATTTTTTTGGTTAGAAAACAGCCCAAAGAAAATAAGGAAGATGACTATGACAACTTTTCTGTGTTTCTATGTAGTTTTCGTATAAATCTACTGGCGTTTTATCACGGATGATGTTCTCTGATTGGCTACGCTACTCACTATCTATTCTGTGATAGATAGTGAGTAGCGTAGCAGTGTGTGGTGTTTTCGCAGTGTCTGTGAAGACAATTCAGATAAAATTTTGAACGACTGGTGGATTTATACTAAAACAATTAGATTATTCACTCTCGATTTCTATGTGTGATAGAAATCTCAAGATCATAATCTAATTGTTTAATAGAAGCCCAATTTTTAACCAATCAGTATGCATATTTTCATTGGGTTATTTTCTAGCATGTTTTATTATATCTCTCTGATCGTTCATGAACTGTGAATGGTCAGTTTTACATGCTGTATTCTACAGTACAGTATGCTAAATGAAAAACTCTGATAAACCCACTTGCTACGTGTTTGACCTGCTGTGTTTTTCTTTTTCCAGACTGAGAGATATTATAAGCATATCTTCCACCTTGCTTTTTACAGGACAGTTACATTCACTAAACTGATATGGATCCTTATTTTGTTCTGCATGTTGTTTGCACTCAGGCTGTAAATCAACAGGGAAACACTTGATCCATTCATGTACATGTATCTTACAAAACAGACCTCAACTGGGTAAATTTTATGTCATATCTTCTCAGGGGGCAGGGGACTCTCTTGTGAAAGGGTTGTAGATGCTCATTATCTTGCTAAGGATTATTGTTAATAATTATGGTGTTCAGGATTGCCAAGGGTTGCAAGCAAAGAAATATAAAGACATTGTCATACTGTGTTGGTGGCCCAGACTGTTACACACAAAATTAGTACTCTAATTCAAATTTTCCTCTGAGCATCCCCGAGCCTGTCACATGCCAGCTCCCTCTCAGTAGCCTTTGCTGCGGGGAGAGGAAATCATGACAAAATTGGTAAGATTTTTCCATTCAGGCTCTTGTGTCATAATGGGAAATAACAATCTCTCACTCAGATTTCACTCTGTTTGACACTGAAAAGTTGGCTGGGAGAAATCTGGGTTCAAATTTAGGAAAATAAGAGCGAGTGACCAACAAATTAGGCTGATGGATATAAATTATTAAGTTGGAATTTTAACTGTAACACAAATAATCATTTTGGGGAGCCTCTGTCATTTAGGCCAATTGCAAGTTTTTTGTTTGCTCTTTGCTCAGTAGTGTAAGAAGATATTAAATGCAAGTGAAAATGGCACATTTTTGGTTCTTGTTTTTGAAAGTATACTGGCACCTTAATGACAAAAAGTAGTATTTTACATTTCTCTCCCACTTCCCACCCTTTCCCCTCCCACCTCCCATGCACCTAGGGGTTTATTGCAGGCTGGGCACTTGGCAGATTGACTGTCAGTGGGAATGATTTTACCCACCTTGTTTGACCATCTAGAGGAAAGTTTTCCTTTTAAAGAAGTTGAGTTCAAACAGTTTTGCCTGCCTGTTAAAACCAGTTTTCCTCCTACTGAAAACTTTAATGAAATCTCTGCCTGTCTTGTATTCTCTTCCCCTGCCCTCCCACACTGGAAGTGCACATTGTTTAAAACCTCCCTTGATGTCTGTCACAGATCCAGAGTAACTCAAGGGATGGAGTGTGGGGGATAGCGAAAAAAAAGTTATACCACTGAATGTTCTCCCTAATAACACTCCAAAAAGGAAACTTAACTGGTGATACCCTCCTACTGGTTTTCTGGATCCCTAACCTTCCAAATTTCAGTTTGGCTTCGTAATTTCCTTTATTTTTTTGGCTTTTGAGATTCCTGTCCCTTCAGAATTTCTGATGATCTTCCATGGGTGGGTATAATATTTTCTGAGGGATGACATCCTTCTACCTAGAGCTGAAATGTTCAGAAAATGACTAACTTGACTCCTTTATCCCACGAGTCCTGTCGCCCGTGTTTTCCCTTTGAGTGGGTTTCTTTCGTGAGAACCGACCCTTCTCGTCACGCAATGGTGGTTGTGTTTCTGGTGGCAGTTGCGCCTTTGCAGACACTCCAGCTGTTTTCGGCGTTTCATCGCCCAGGGAACTCAAAGCGAAGCCTCCAACCTTAAAAAGTACACCGTGACCACTCTGACTTCCTTCGCGTACGATCACGACCGTCTTCTCTCTCCGATGTCGGCGCNTTCTTTGCACCTCCTACCCGATATTCTCCTGGTCTCTCTCTCCCCTGTGCTCCCCGACTGAAGTGCACATTGTTAAAGCCTCCCTTGATGTCCGCAGCAGATCTGGAGGAACTCGAGGAGTGGAATGTGGGGGACAGTGAGGAAAAAGTGTAGTGGAGGGGAACCATTGCCCTAAATATACCACTGATTTTCCTCCCAGTACCCCAAAAAGACAAATTGCTGATGATCAGTAAGCACCTTTGCATGTTCCAATTTTCCAGGCATAAATGTCATTGCAAAGTAAAGAAAAACAATATGCTTCCTGGAAGAAAGTTACCATTATTTTTATAGGATGGCTGGGGGGAAAAGGAGTAAGAACTTTAATTACATGAGGTAAAAGAAGAGGGTTGGAAGTGGATTTCCTGCGTTCAAAGGAACAAGGAGAAATCGGAGAATTTTACAACATGGCGGGGGTTATAATTAAAAGGTCACGGGGCCGGGATGTGGGAAGTTCTGTCCCGTCCCCTGGCCCCTACAGACTAGCCTCGACTCGAGGTTAGTCGACATTATCCCAGACTCTCCCGTCATTTAACGGCGGGAACATGTTTCAGTTCAAGCAGTCACTCGAGAAGACATTAATTAGCGATTTTTAAGTTTCTATGAGTCATCGAAAATCACCAACGAACTGGCGAGAAGGATGTCTTCGGGGGTGTCTTTCCGTAGGTACTTTTCCTCTGTAGATTCTTCGTCGTATCGGGAAAGACAAGAAGAGGAGTGGAGTCCACGAAGCCAAGAAAGCGACCAGGATTCTGATGAAGAAAACCACGAGTCAAACGTGATCACCATAACTGACTCCAGCACAAGTTCATTGGAATCTCCTCTTCCTTGGACTAAAAATTCTTCGTTTTCGCATTCCTCTCTCTCTACAAGCCTTGTATTACATTCTCAAGGTGGTAAGGTATGTCAAGAAGGTGGCTTTTCGACAGATTCGTCGAAAGAGTTCATTCCTAGGTCAAGATCGCTTGTGATCGGAAAGCGTCCTAGAGCTGTTGGACTCAAGGATATTGATCTGACAAGAAATCCTGCCGCAAAGCATATTCGAGAAACAAAGGAAGCGAACAAAAGCCCCAAGAAGAGCCACTTGTTCAGCCCTTTATCAAGACACATGTCTTGTCCATCTTTCAGCAGCCCCAACGAAATCTTTCCCATAGGACCGTCTGATAGACATGGAAAGACAGGTAAAACTGGTCAAACCCGTTTGAATCGAGGGTTGAGCTTTGACTCGGACTCACAGCTCAGATCAGCGATTGTTTGCAAAAGCCCACCAGTAGAAGTGACCAGAAAATCAAGCGGAAATGCCGTAACATTATTTAGTTGCCCAAATGATCAGGTCAATTTTGACACAACTGATAACATGTTACAAGTACATTTTCCAGTGGAAGAATCAGACTGTGACTGGTGTGACACAGCAACTCCGCATGTTGTACACAACAGTAGCAAACTCTGCTTACCACCTGAAGTTATTGATCTGACGATCAGTGAAGAGCCGCCTGGTTGTAAATTAAACAATTACAATGAGCAATCAAATTGCCAGGAAAGCTCAGCCAAAAATGGAGATGTTTCTAAGCCAAGTACAGCTGTTCGAAATCGTTTACCGTTGAAGGGGAAAATGGCCAGGAAAAAATCTGAGTTTTCTTTTAGCGATGATGAGGATAGTGATTCTACTGAATGCCGTGCAAAAAGGGGCAACGAAACATCACTGCAACCAGATGACACTAATGAACAATCACAAAACAGGCGACACTCTAAGCGGTGGTTTTTACAAATGTGCCTTATTTTTGTGTTATGTGCATTATCTTTATCAGGATACTTTCATGTTAACCCTCACGGCCTTTGTCTAGATAGTGAATTCAGCAAGAATATTTCAGGCATTGGCAGTACCCTCAAGACTGAGTTATATGGTCAACACATTGCTCAGAAGCTGGTCACCTCGGCGCTGAAGAGTCACTTCAACAAGCAAGACATAAGGAAGCCACTTGTGCTGTCTTTTCATGGCTGGACTGGAATAGGCAAGAACTTTGTCAGCAATATTATAACAGAACATTTTTTCAAGCGCAAGACTCACAGCCCCTTTGTACACAAGTTTATCATTCCACTTCATTTTCCTCACGAATCCGAAGTTGAAAGCTACAATGAACAGCTACAGAGATGGATCAATGGAAATATATCACACTGTAGAAAGGGTGGCTTGTTTATATTTGATGAAATGGACAAAATTCACCTTGGCATGATGGGCACAATTAAAGATGCCATCTTGGATTACCGAGGCAAGAAAGCTGGCTATGGAAATGTGGTATTTATTTTCCTGTCAAATTCTGGTGGCGAGGCAATTAATCGACATGTACTGAATCACGCTCTTGAGGGAAAATTGAGAGAATCCCTAACATTGGGTGAGCTGGAAATTATTTTCCATGGCATTGTAAAAAAAATGCCAGATGTTTGGTTTGCAGACCTATTGAAGTCAGAAGTCATTGATCAGTTGGTTCCATTTATTCCATTGGAGAGGACACATGTGAAGCAATGTATCAGAAGGGATCTCATCAAGAAAGGTTTCCAAGTAAAAGAGGCGTTAGTCACAGAGATTGCAGATCAGATGGAGTACTTCCCTGAAAGATATGAATTCTTCTCAGTGTCAGGGTGCAAGAAGGTGTCATCCAGAGTGGATGTCGTCATGGGATGAACTGTGGAGCTGAGGTGGCAGTGATGAGGCTTTCTTACAAATGTGCAACAAGGACTGATTTTTCTCATCTCTGGACACTTTTAAAGTGTCATTAAAATGACTATAC